TTCGTATTATCTTTTAATTCTATTTCTCCACAAACTTTTTGAAGAACTCCCATACATGCCACATAATGTGGATAAACCTTGAAAACATGCTGAGTGAAAGAAGCCAGACACTAAAGGTCATGTGTTATGTGCCTCTATTTCTATGAAATATCCAAAATAGATAAATCCGTAGAGAAAAAATGTAGATTGATGGTTTCCAGGGACTGGAGAGAGGGGAGTATGGGAAACAACTGCTTAATGGGTATAGGGTTACCTTTTGAGGTTTTGAAAATGTTTTGGAACTAGATAGAAGTGGTGAATACATAACCTTGTGAATTATTTACTTAAAAATGGTCAATTTTTTTTTCCTTTTTGTCTTTTTTCGTGACCGGTAACGGGGTCACAACCCTCGGTGTCAGCGCGCGTACCGCGACCGGCAACGGAATTGCAACCCTCGGTGTCATGCCCGCACTGCGCTCAACCAGTGAGCGGACTGGTCTCTGTGGGATCCGAACCCTCGGCGGGAGCGCCGCCATGCTCCCAAGCGCCGCACTCTACCGAGTGTGCCACCGGGCCGGCCCAAAATGGTCAATTTTATATGAATTTTACCTCAAAAAATAAATGGAATTATGGAACTTAATGTAGGTTAAGAGTGTACATAATATGAGTCAGACAAGCATATTGGTACTCTTTCAAAGGAGTTTTGTGAATATTAGTGTGTGTGAACTGCTTAGCACACTTAGTAGTTATCTGGTAAATATTAGTGTTACTGCTATTATTGGTGCCACTGTTGATTTTTATTTTATTCCTCATTTGTAGAATGGAAATAATAATATGGGCTAGGATTGTTCTGAGGGTTTAATGAGTTAATCCATGCAAAAGGCTTAGAACAGTGGCAGACACATTGTAAAGTGTTACCTAAGCTATTATTATATGAGGGAACTTTTTCACATTCTGCATTTTCATATCTGCATACTGATAAAGAAACTAATGTTCATATTGGAAAATTACCTTTTCAAAATTTGTACGGCTAATTTGTACTGCTAGTGACAGAGTTAAGATCATAGAACCTGCTTTCTTAAATTCCAGACTAAGTGACATTCAAAGGATGTAGGTATGTGATTCTTATTTCCTCTCCAGGTGTGGGGGAAACACTTTGGTTTTCACTTCGTAGAAACCAGAGATATCGATCATTTAGCTATAAATTGTTAAGCTTTGGCTGCCTGGAATTTATTATATAAGTTGTTTTTGTCTGCATTAATTACTATGTATTGATGTGTCATGAGAAGAAGCCAAGCTTTGGAAAACTGGTATTTATAGTGGCTAAAGGTTGCAGTTACTTCTCTTGCCACTGGATGGTGCTTCTACAACATCATTTAGGCAGATATGTTGGCTGATATTGTTTGTCTTGATCAGCAAAAAATTGATAAATAGGTTGACTGCAGGAAGTTGAAATACTCTTTTGAGCTGGATCCAAGAATCTGTAAAAAGTGGGAATTTTCTTTAGTGTGTTTTTATATAAGGTTTTTTTTTTTTTTTTTTTTGTCTTTTTTCCGTGTCCGGCAATGGATCGCAACCCTCAGTGTTGCCCCCGTACCGGACCGGGGACCGGCAACGGGATTGCAAGCCTCGGTGTTGCTCCTGCGCCTTGCTCAGCCAGTGAGCGGGAGCCGGTCTGTATGTGGGATCCGAACCCTCGGACGGGAGCGCCGCCGCGCTTCCCAAGCGGCGCACTATCCAGTGCGCCACCGGGCCGGCCCTTTATATAAGGTTTTTATAAAACCTAAAAAAGAATCAATTGGATCAAACCTATGATTGTCTATGGTAATTTAACAAGTGGTAGTGTTATGGGAGAATCTGATTATTCCTACTGGCAGAATCTTAAGGGTGTTAAGTTTTCCTTGCTTCTTTTGGCAGCTGATTTTACTCTCATTCCCATTTTTTATTTTGGGGGATTGAGGAGCAGCTAGCTGGTTTGGGGATCTGAACCCTTGACCTTGGTGTTATAACACCATGCTCTACCAATTGAGCTAACCAGCCAGCCCCATCTCCAAATTTTTATCATAAGCGTTCTTATTCTACCTTAACTATAAGTTCTTCCTTACTTAGGTGTGTTTGGGTATGGATGTATACGGGTGTGGAAAGTACATGCTGGTGTAACAAAGGGATTTCCTTTAAAAAAGTTCAGAGCTGTAAAAGTTGCATTTGAATGTGGTTACAGAAGGAAGACTAGAGGGAATGAGACTGGAGAGGTGGCTTGGGGCCATGCTAAGAAATATAATCATCTTCATTCATACACGGTGATTATCAAGTTGAGGTGTTTTAAGTAGTGGAGAGAACATACTTGTAAACATACTTTTTTCTCATTTAACCTAATTTTTATTTCTGTATAGTGTAATAGGTACATATTTTTAGAATTCAAATCTTAATTCAAGGGTGTGACAACAGCAGCTCAGCTACAACAACAAATCCTTGTCCCATGCCCACCCATGTCTTACCTTTCCCAAACATTTCTTCTGTTATTCACCTCCATCTTCCTTAGTCGTATGCTTCTAACTTTTAAAAATCCTAATCTTAGAAATTCTCTCTTGTTGTTATAGAAGATGAGAATTTAATACTCATACCATCAGACATTTCTGGCACCTCTCCCTTCATCTTCTCAAATAGTAATAACAAATGTTTTGGTTAACTGCTAGACCAAGTAGTGTACTATAATGGCATCTCCTTTCTTGGGAAACTTTCTGTTTTTAGTGTAGTTTACAATTCCTTCATTGTTAGGTTTGTCTAGATTTCAAGGCACTATCTCTACTTTATCCCAAACATGATAATTCTGAATTCTGTTTTTCATACAAATTCTATTAGTACTATTTCCTTCTCCCCACTCCTACCCCCATCTCCAGCCCCAGGAGGCACCTCTCTTAGAACTTTCTTCTCTCTAGGCCAATTTGCTGTCTAGCTCAATTTGACCTGGCTTTTACTTAACTGTTTGATAGATTTTATTTCTTCCTCTTTCTTGGCTTGGTAAAGCAGTTTTCTAGTAGCTATCTCAGAAGTGATGCATGAGAGCTAAATATTTTGAGATCTTTCATGTCTGGAAATGCCTTTCATTTGGTTTTGGCTGGACATAGGTTGAAAATACATTTTTTAATTTTATTTTCTCAATTTACAGTATAGTTGATTTTCATGCTAGGTTGAAAATATTTTTAAAGACATTGTCTTTTTGTCTTACGGATTCTGGTGTTCTTATTGAGAAGTGGAGAATTGGCCATTCTTGATCATTTAATGTAGTCTAGTTTATTTTTCTGCAAGCTTTTATAATCTATTCCTGATGTTCTGAAATTTCACTATTATGTGCCATAGTATAGGTTTTATTTTATTTTATTCTATTCATTATGCCAGATATTTGGTGGGTCTTTCAGTCTAAAAACAAGTTCTTTTGGTTCTGTTAAGTTTTCTCAAATAATTTCTCTTAATTATTTTCTATATGTCACTTTCTCTGTTCTTTCTCAAACTTCTGTTAGTTATATGTCATATCTCCTCATTTGACCTTCTAATTTGTTTTGTTTCCCATATGTTCCATGGCTTGTCATTTAGTAATCTTCCGGGAGATCTCAATTGACTCTTACAACCTTTCTGTTGAATATATTACTTAAGCTTTTTTTTTTCTTTCTTTCTTTTTAATCTCCAGGAGTTCTCTGGTTTAGGTCATTCCTTTTCCTTCCTTCCTTTACTTTTTTTTTCTTTTAAATATTATCTTGTTCTGAGAAGATGAGGAATGATTTACTTTTTCTCTGCACTGGTCCTGTTTCCTTCTTTTTTTTCCCCCTTAACTATTTTGGGGTATCACTGCAGTCTGGCCTGAGGCCCTAAAAAGCTGATTGGAAGCAAAGCGGGTAAGACTAGGTCTTGTCAAGTGGTGAGCTTCACCTTAAGAGTGAAATTGGGGGCCGGCCCGGTGGCTCACTGCTACAGTGCGCCGCTTGGGAAATGCGGCAGGCGCTCCCGCCAAGAGTTCGGATCCCACATACAGACCGGTTCCCGCTCACTGGCTGAGCGAGGTGCGGGTGCAACACCGAGGGTTGCGATCCTGTTGCCGGTCCCGGTCCAGTACGGGCGCGACACTGAGGGTTGCGATCCGTTGCCGGACACGAAAAAAGACAAAAAGGAAAAAACAAAAAAAAGAGTGAAATTGGCTGTTTTCCTCAGATACCCTTTTACTTTCTCCAGAAAACATTTATCTGTTTATTCAACAACAAAAAATTTTTTTGAATGCTAGCTATATGGCAAGCATTGTTTCTAGGTGCTGGGAGTTTAACTGAATTAAAACCTACCCTTAGGGTTTTACATTTTGGCAAAGGGAAACAGATCCTAACAGAAATAAGGAAACATTAAAGACAAAAAGGAAGGAAGGGAGGGGTAGGTAGTGTTAATAGACAGTGAGTGAGTGGGGAGCCTGGAGAAATATTTCAACAGGATAGGGTAGCTTGGGAAAAGAGGCATGATGCAGGAGAAGAGTATTCCAGGTTGGGCAAACAATATATGCAAAGGCCCTGGGGTGGAAATCTGCATGACCTGTGTGTGGAACAACAAAAAGGAAGCCAGTACAGTTAGCTAGGTCAGAGGTAAGATGATGGAGAAAATGGTGAGGACAGGGTAGAAAGGGGGATGTGGGCAGAATGTGTAGAGCCTTGTGGGCCATTTTAAGTAATTTTGCTTTTAGTCTTTGTGAGAAATGGTATTTGGAAATATCTAATAAGCAGTAGGGTATCTGGAGTTTGGATTTATGGGAGAGATCTGGGCTGTGATATAAATTTAAGTCATCAGTGTGTGTATGGAATTTAAAGCCACGAAACTAGCGAAAATCACCACTAGGGAAACTAGGGAATGAGTGATCATAGAAAAGAGAACTTCATTTCAGTTTTTAGTGGTGAGAAAGATGAGGAGAAACCAGCAATGAAGACTGAAGAATGGCCAGAAAAGTAGGGAAACCAGGAGAATTTTCATGCAGAAAAGAATGCAGAATGATTTCAACCGCTAATTGGGTTGACACAGATGAGGACTTAGGAATGACCACTGGATTTAGGAACGTGGAGATCATTAATGTTAACGAGAGCAGTTTTGGTAGAGGGGTGTTTGTGTGTTGGTAAGGAGAAGAGTGTTAACAACAAAGCCAGATTGGTAAGGATCATGAGATGGAAGGAGAAACATGTATAGTTAACTTTCAAGGAGTTTTGCTGTAAAGAGAAGAGATGGGGAGGAGACTGCTGGGGAAGAATCTTTAATCTCCAAAACAAGTTCAAGAGGTTTAGTAGTACAATCTAATAGTTATGGTTATTGACTAGATAAGGTCATGAGGGAAACTCAAGGAGTCTAGGATGAGGTTTCTATCTCAACCAGTAAGTAGGCAGCTTAAAACAGCCTAAATTAATTCTTAGATGTTTTCCAGTGATACCTAGTTTCCATCCCAAGGGGTTTAGAACTTTCAGACTGTGTCCTAAATTCATCTCTCTTCAGGCAAGTTTCCTGAAATAGTATCGGTTGTCTGACTTGTCATTAAGATTAATTAATAAATTGTATGCTTAACTGGAATTGTTAGTCTTGCTCAGAGTTAGTCTTTACGATCAGATAATTTTAGGATGATTTTCTGAGAAATTATTAGAGAAACAAAAATATGGCCTGCAGACATAGGATAAGGTTATTAATAGCTGATTAAGTGGCCCTTTTTTCTCTCGACTGAGTATGGGAAACATAATGGGGGCAAGCTGAAAGATTCTGACTGTTTAAGAAGCAGACAGGCTCAAATTAAGAAGGGAGCAATAGGATAAATCTAAAAGTTTGAAGGGGTAAGGGCATTGTACATACTGGGGGCCAGGAAGAGATAGCTAACATGTTCTGTTAAGGGTTGGTTTTAGACCATTTCTTGGTGAGAGGTTAGTTATTAAAAATGAAATACAGAGTAGGGACCATGTCAGTTCGGGGCAGGTATGAGTAGGAAAACCATTGAATAATTCTGTTTCTTTCTTTTGTATGGTAAGCATTTTTCCCACCCCAGAATCCCTTCCCATCAATTTATAGGCAGGGACTTTATTTTTATCATTTTCCTTTCCCTTTTCTTCCTTGGCTCCCCAAAATATTTGGATCAAAATTAATTCCTCCCCTGGAAAAAAGTTGTGAATTCTTTAAATATTTAAAGTTTTAATGAGTGGTATATATTACCACCCATCTGCCTGGAATGGGAAAACAACATTAGCAGTACAGAGCAAACCGATATTCGTTAGAATCATGTAACAGGTTCTAATTATTTTAAATTTTTATCTGTTATTCTTTAAGATTGTAGCACATGTTTTCTTCTGAAGCTTGATTTACTTTTAGATCTGTTTATATGCTTTAGATTGTTTTCTTCATTTAATGTTCACTGTCAGCTGAGGCTTGCTTCTCGTGTTTGTTCCGCAGGAGTGAAACTGAGTCTTGAAATAAAATGTAAATTTACCAAGAAAAGAAAACTGGGATGAGGAAAGGTTTTAGGAAGTAACATATGTTAAGTGAGAGACATGAGAAAACATGATGAGCATATGTCATGTGGGCTGAAGACTTCACCGAAGGACATTTTTACAATTTTATCCTGGAAGCAATTGAGAAAGCAAATGGAAAAAATCAATGGAAAAAGCTTTGGAAAAATCATTCTGGCTATAATCTCAATGAAAGGAAAGCTTTTAAGTCAAGCTTTATGAAAAATTTACTACCTTGTTTTTGTTTTTCTCACTTTTCCTTTTATTGGTAAAAATGTCATCCCAGACTCTTAGTCGTTGATTGTGTTTTTTCCCTCAGTAATTTTAATCATGTTAAGTAATTTGTAGTCAAAAATTTGGAGGTTCAATTTGGCTTTGTTGACTTTTATTCAAAGTGGATAATTTTCATATGTGTTATTTAATGTTTATTAGTTTTGGATTATTAGCTAGTATTCAATAGAGTTTTATTTGTGGGAATCCTGTAAGATCCGGTGAAAGGATTTCTACTTTCATACAGTTACTATATTTGCTGTTAATAGCCCAGGGCCATTTTTAATGTAAATTTGGATCATCAAACCTTGTGCTGCAAGGCCTGGAATTAGAAGCTTCCTTATGATCTCCTTTTGCTGGTGAGCAGATTTATTTTCTAGGTGGCTCTTAATAAAATTGTAGTCCTTTCTAGGTTTTAGGCGAAGGTCTGAGTTCCAATATTCTGCCATGTAAAGTCTCGGAACCTTTCCTGCATCTCCATTATGGCTGTTAAAAATACAAGCCCCTTGGTTATGTTCCCCCCAACCTTGCCACTTCCAAAGTGCAACTAAATCTTGTTTATCTGCTCTGGTTTTCAGTTTCCTCTTTGTTTCTGGCCCATAGGAAATTATCTTAGTTTTTTTTTTTTTTTTTTTTTTTTTTTTG